ATATACATATATATATATATAAAATATTACCAGTTATTTATGCTACCTGTAGTAATCTTTAAATGCAGAGGGGAAACTATCATGGTTGAAACAACAGAATTTAAATGGCAAGAACGTTTTATAATCTAAGCACTGTATAAAATAAGTAGATGGGAATCCTGCACAGTTATGTCAATCCTAATTTCATCAAGCTAAGCACAAGAGAAAATCATGAATGCATCTAACACCTTGAGCAGCTGTATCTAAAAGGAATCCAGAACAGCAGATCTGCCTTAACTTCAGGACAGCTGGAACAGCTCCACGTTCCCAGGTGACAGAATCTAGTGGCCATCAAAGCATTCTGCAGTTACTATATGCACACGAGGGCTAGTTCTTGGCAGTAGCATTAAACTATATTTTCTCCTATTAAGTAGAACTGTACTAAGTTATTTAGCAAAGAGACACAGTCCCTGGTAATATATTAACAGGTATAAATAAACTTAGCCTCCTGTGTTACAAAAACTGTAATTAAGGTGAATTAATAAGAAGCAATGCTTTGTCAGCCAGTCAATATATAGAAACATCTGAACAGTCACAGGAAAAGGAAAAGAGTTGACCTAACACCCAGTTAAAATTTTACATTCTTCTACTATATATATAAAACTGTGTGAAATAAAAGTAAGGATGAATATCCATATATTGAGCTGTTAATATTCTGCTTGGCACTTTGTACTCTAGTTTTGTTTCTGAATCAAGTATATTAAATTAAAGCCCACCTAGCTACTACATATAGAAAGCTACATATATATCTATATATAAATACACACACACATATATATATATAGATAGATATTTCCTTGTTATAAAAGATGAAGAAAAATAAATTAAAAAGCCAACCCCTTCCCTTTCTCCACCACACTGATATGCTCTTTCCATCTTTGCTGTCCTTCAGACTTTAAAGTGCTACACTGAGTTATTGAGAGAATAAAAGTTCAATAACACTTAGTTGGCTTCATGAGGCTCATGTTGGAAAATGTGGCTTCACAGAGAAAAATACTTCCATTTAAATACACAGAGAGCATTGCTGGACGTCTTGAGCAGATCTTCAGAGATGGAGAAGAAAGCAAAAGTGTTGGGTGGTGCCCTACAGAGTCACACGTCTACCACCATCTTTTTGTGGATATCTAGGCCTCCTACAACCTGGGAGAAAAAGAAGTGTTCATAAATGGACAAGTATTGAAAGTTGGCAAGACACAAAGAACAGACTGTATTCAGAAGATGCATTCGGGTCAACCATCATTACAGGACTCCCCTGGCCTCTCCAAACCAATTTACAATTCACAAGTACTGGGTGGTATGTGAATAAATTATGTATGAACCCAGGCAGTTACATTAGTACGATTTACACACTCAAGGGCCTGAAAAACAGTGTAAGTTACACCATTTTGGCTTTCCTCCCCTATCTCGTATTCTGACCTTGTATTATGTTTCTGCATGTTAAATGAAACACTCCTAAAACACTCTGTAAAACTGTGAGAAGCAAAGGGCCTTCGGAAAGGCAGCAGGATTTCTCACAAAGCTGCACGCACCCAAAAAAGAACTACCAGTATTCAAAGGTGTACGCTTCATGCACAGAGAAAGGAAAAGGAAAGGTGCAACGTCAGAGGAACTTTTTATAATGCAAAAACAAAATTCAAAAGGCCAAATGGTATGGCCAAATGCCATGAACAAAAAAGTATTTTTGCAGATAGATGGCACAAAATTCAAAGGCGGCAAAATGCAAGAACAGGAGGGTAAGAGATTGTAGGAATCAAGTCTTGTCAGGAGGTCAACAAAACCTGAAGAAATTAAAAGAAAAGTAGAGGAAAATCAAATAGTACAAGACAGGAAGTCTGGGCGGAAGCCCAAGGACAAAAGAAAAGAAAGGGCAACATCATAGTCGATGGATGGCTGGAAGACAACAGCCCAGTGCAAGAAATAAACAGATGCTTCGCTAATCTAGGTGTTTGCAGGCTGCAACTCATTCTGAGTTCTTTGCAGATGACCACATGTTTTCACATGATGCCACGAAAATAACTAAACTCTACCAAAAAAATATCTGCAGACAATGGAACTTTTTTGCTTTAATAGTTTGGGGGAGGGCAGATTTTTTTTCCCCTTTTTATTAGAACTTGCATTGATCACGAGTATAAACAAGTTACATTTGAACTGAAGTTGTAAATTCAAAGAGTAGGAAATAAAAGCAATGCTTGAGTGCCTATCAACTCAAACTGTGCTACCCAAGTGTGTGTTGATTAATATGCCATTTAAAATTAACATGTAAACACTGATTATTGCAATTTTCAAATGTTTCAATGTGTCATTTACTTTTGTTAAAGAGAGAAGGAATTTAAAACTTGCCGTCAACTAATTAAACAAATTAGAGCATGGGTGGAAATCAACCATTTCGAGTCCCAAGCACTACATTCAAGCATTCTGCTCAGTAATACCCGAAGAGTTTTTAAAACACACCTTTCAACTGTTTGTGCCTTTTCAAGAGCAGCACTTGAGGGGTTACTCTCCCTGTAACTGACACAAATCCGGCTACCCTGGCCTTTGTAAAATCCCCACGTTCTGCAGATGGCGATAATCTCCCCAGGCTCTCTCCACACCCTGCAAAGATAAACCTTTCTAAAGGGTGACTTGGAGCAGACACCTCGTTCAGAGATTGGGAGATTAACCTAAAGTTCACCTCTGTGGAACACACCTCTCCCCTCCACGCAGCAACCCTGACAGTGACACTTTTTGAAAGAGAGATCTGCTATGACATACTCTGGTTTTACAGCTTTCGGACGGTTTGAAGCATTTTTCCCTCCCCTTCAGCAGACTGTACATGCCTGTCCACCATGCTTGGAGTTTTTTCACTCAGTGTGTTCTATGAAGCAGCTAGAGGCATTTAAAACAACTGAAAGTCCTGTTTCTTTCTGAATCAAATTTAACTGTTGAAAACAAGGAAAACCAGCCTCCTACAACAAGCCAGTCAGTCACAACTCATCTTTAAAGCTGCTGTTTTCTATCAGCATAGAGACTGGAATCCAATATACATCTTCATGTCAGGCTACCATTTTTGTCTATATACAGAAATAATTAAGGCTGGTCTTGTGTTTACTATGTCATGAAATGACACAGAAATTGCTTTGCAGAAGTTTGCCATGCTCTCAACGAAGCAATCTTCTTCAGGCATGCTAGATTCCATGGGAAAGCCTGCATCCTGAAGGAACCACTTCAGGACTTGCTCATCTGTCATAAAACACGTTGCTCTATTGGAAGCCGTAACACAAAAATACCATCTGTAATAAAGCTAGGTCAAAGGGTGACTGTTGCCAGGTCAGAAGAAACACTCTGCTTTTATAATCTTACCCTTTATGTTGTTTACCTTTTTTTTTAAATTCCAAATTATCAAAAGGTTTTCTTTAGAGGTTACTTACAGCACAGAATTCTTCAAAGGATATTCTTCCATCACCATCCTTATCTGCGTTAATTATGGTTTTATCTACAATTTGCTGTAACTGAGTGTCTTTGAGATTGTTCCCAACCATCATCTTCAGCACCTGGAAGAGCTCTCCATTTGAGATATAACCATCTTTGTCCATATCATAAATGCGAAAAGCAACTGCAGAAGAAAAATATATATGTAAAACTTTCAGTAACAAATGTGGTTGGAAAACAGCAATATACACTCATGTGCTTTGCATTAACAGTAAGTGCACACAATCCTGCACAAACTGAGAAAAATACTGCCTTTTAAGTGAGATTTCCAACAGTCTTTCAGTTTTCTTCTGAAAAATATGAAGCATCAGAAATAGTACAATGAATGGTGCTACTATCGAATTGAAAAAACTCACTTTAGAAATGTCAGTCGGGATTGTTTTAGCACCAGCAGTAAAGGAACTCTGAACTAGAAAATCTTCACCACCACAAGTAAAGCACCCAGGTAGCAGCTCATGTGCAAGCAGAAAACATTACAACATTCCAAGGAACAGATGACTCAAAATCCCACCTAGTTACTTTGCTGCAAACAATTTGGCAGGAAGACCGAATTTATTTTTCAACATTTCCGTACAGCAGATTTCTTTCTTGAACCTGTATTAGGTCTTAGTTATTCAAAGCTACACCCATGACTGAATCTATTCCTTCCCCACTCCAGAAGCTTGGGTCATGTTGTGTTCCCGAGATGCAGTTCTCAAACAAGAATTTAGTGCTGTTCTACTGTAGCAGCAGAAGAATTAATACTATTCTTATGCTCCCACAAAGCAAGGCACATTGCTACACAGTTTTGTGAACTAAGTATGCTTAGATTAATTTTTTTTTTTAAATGTGAAGCAGCTGAAGATATTCCGAAGGCAACCTCCTCAAACATTCACCATAGAAAAGAATGCTGGCAAATCCTTCGCACAAATGACAGTGTGTGCAAAAGCTTACAATCTACCTTCATGATTCCCCACTTTTAAAAAGAATCTGGATTTGCTGATTTCTCAATGCTAACTAACAAAAGTATATTTTTGAGGATCTGTCCTGGTTTCAGCTGGGATAGAGTTCATTTTCTTCCTAGTAGTAGGCATAGTGCTGTGTTTTGGATTTAGTAGGAGAAGAATGTTGATAACACACTGATGTTTTTAGTTGTTGCTAAGTACTGCTTATGCTAGTCAAGGACTTTTCAGCTTCCCATGCTCTGCCAGGTGCACAAGAAACTGGGAGGGGCACAGCCAGAATAGTTGATCCAAACTGACCAAAGGGCTATTCCATACCATATGGCATCATGCTCAGTATAGAAACTGGGGGGGGTTGGCGGGGAAGCAGCGATCGCTGCTCGGGAGCTGTCTGGGTATCGGTTGGCAGGTGGTGAGCAATTGCATTGTGCATCACCTGCTTTGTATATTGTTATTATTATTATCATTATTATATTGTTGTTATTATCATTACTATTTTACTTTATTTCAATTATTAAACTGTTCTTATCTCAACCCAGGAGTGTTTCTCACTCTCACTCCTCCCATTCTCTCCCCCATCCCATCAGGGTAGGGGGAGCGAGCGAGCAGCTGCGTGGTGCTTAGTTGCTGGCTGGGGCTAAACCATGACAGGATCAAAAAATTTTTGTGTAGGAAAATCAAAATACTTACACCTCAACTTCTGTTCCTTATCTCCTTTGACACTGAACTGGGAGACTCCTTCTATAAATTCTGAAGAATACAAGAAAAGTATTTACCAAAAAGTGTATTTTTTAATAAAGCAAGGAAATCAACATTCAGGAATTTTTAGAAATTGTAAAAAGGATCTAAATTACCCTAACATCTTTAAAATATTGCCTACCTTGTGACACCTAAGTGTCCACACACTTTGATACATTAATGTTCTGTAGTGGGAAGTACTTCAAATCCAATACTGCGCTCACTGAACAGACTTGTTCACACCAGTATTTCAGTACTACTGAACTAGACTTTTCACCAGAATCTAACAAGATCTCTACTAAAGCTGCTCCAGTGGGAATTCTAATTGTACAGCTCCTCTCAAGATTGGTTTCTCAACTTGAAGGAAGAATTACAAACTGCTCTAAAATAAATGCCTAAAAAAATATATATTCTTCTGTAAGAAATAGGGTAAAAAGAAATTTACACTGTTTAAACAATGAAATCATTATCCCACGAGCAAACTCTTGAGTTGCCAAAAAAATAAAACCCTGGCAAGTGATGTTTCTGGATGAGATCCTGTAACTAGACTTCCTAGAGCTCTGGGTGGTACAAATGACAACAGTGCAAAACCACAAGCTAAACTATGGTATAGAGATAATACAGAGGTATAGCAACATAGGTTGAAAGGCCTACTACCATTTCAGCAAGTTTTGTTGAATTTAAATTAAAAACCTGAATGGAAATTAAATCAAGAACTCCTATATGGCGTATTGAGGGGTTTTTTTTTTTAACCATTATGCTTAAAGATTAATCTAAAAAAAACCCATTTAGGTCTTTAACAAAAGAACCCAAGTTTCCTCACACTAGGAATTTTCCTTTTCATGGAATCACAGAATGGTTTGGGTTGGAAGGGACCTTCAAAGATCATCTAGTCCAAGCCCCCTGCCACGGGCAGGGACATCCTTCCCTAGACCAGGTTGCTCAGAGCCTCATCCGACCTGGCCTTGAACATGTCCAATGACGGGGCATCCACAACTTCTCTGGGCAACCTGCCCCAGTGCCTCACCACCCACATCATAAAGAATTTCTTCCTTACGTCCAATCTAAACCTACTCTCTTTCAGTTTAAAACATTTCCTTTGAGCTTCCCTCAGACAGAAATAAAGGAATTAAATGAAGCAAACTTGGCCAGATGACAATAGAATTCATTGCCACTTACTGCAGCAGCATTATTTTACTATACAAAATTGATTTTGACAACTTCCTGTTCCCACCCAAGAGGAAGAGCTCTTGGTAATTCTATTAATCACAGCTCAATGTCACATACTGTATACCACCATCTTTCATTGCTGCCTATTTTTCACAAGGGCATTTTGGGCAGTTACATACAACATTTAGTGCTTTGGAAACTGATAACCAAGTCAGTCTTAAAAACTGAGCATTCCAGTTACACTGTAGTTCTCCCTATAGAAATTTAAAGGGTTTTGTAAAGGTTAGCAACTTTTGCATGTTAACGTTTTATTTAAAATTTCAGCCTGTCAATATGAGATTTGGTAACTTTCTCCAAATTAAAAAAAAAAACCTCAAGAAAAACTGATTAGCCTTTTCTAGTCATGAGCAATAAGAGGTAAGTATTAACTTCAACAGAAGTTACAGACATTATCACTTCTAAGGGTCAGTGACTGTTTTAACATAAACTAGTAAGGAAGATTTTTAATCTACTGGTTCTTTTAATCATGAATATTTAAAATAAACCTAAAATTTTGTAGGAATGTACTCAAAACTTTTGTTTTTCGCTTCAATTGTCTACCGACAATTTAAGATCATAAAAAGAATCTTATAAAGGAAGTCTCAACAGAAAAATTTGGACCACTTTCACAATTTAGAGAACTATTTTCAAAATACTCCAAAAGAGATCTCGTAACAACATTTGCATAAATACAACTTATGCACAGACACACCACTTACATGGTATACTCCACTTTTTTCGTAGTCTCTTCAGCCTAAGAATATACTTCAGGTAGCACCACAATTAAGAGTCTGAATCGGTGTACTTTAAGAGATACTTAATGAGTAGTCCTAAATCAGTATGACCTGGAAAGCTATTACTAAACAATCTGCTCTTTTAAGCATTTAATTCAGGAGTGCATTGCCCCAATGCGCCAGAGAAACTAGTTTTACTGGTATTCAGTTTCACTAGGAATTAGCACCTTATTTTGAGTCACAAGATTTCTTCACCCCTCCTTTCTCAGCTGAAGCAAAATTTGAATTCTAACACTGCAGGAATTCTGATAAAATGCCACCACCTGTCACAAAGTACTGTGTCTTACCTTTGAAGTCCACCTCTCCATTTCCGTCTGTGTCAAAAATATCTATTACTCGCTGTACTAATGGGTTCTGTTGCAATTCAGGTAAAGACATGAACTCTTCCACACTCAGAGAACCAGAGTTGTCCAAATCAAGCTTCTTAAATCTCTTTCCTAGTCGTTTTATCTCATCAGCATCAACTGAAATGAGAAAAAAAACACCTGTTCTCAGAAAGGCTTCAGTAAACCCTTTGCCAGTTAAACACAATGAGCATATCTTCATTGCTTTCCTACCAGAATTTCTCCTACTTTATTACAACTATTAAACACTGTCATGGAAGATTATAGAGAGAACATCAAATTCTGAGGACAATCACAGGCCTTTTCTTTTTTTTTTTTTTTTTAAATAAACCTTACCTTTTTTCCTCCCTGCACCAGCCATAATACAGTTATAGCCTTGTGACTCACCGAATACCACATGCTGACACAAGATTTTTAAGGATTGAGGATGCTTAGCTAGTTCTTAGTCAGACAGCTCTTACAAATACCAGGTATGAAGAAATTAGAAGAGAGGCCAAGTTTTCTTTGAAGGAGCTAGCATTATGTTTACACTAGACTAACAGAGTAAGTTAGAAAGACAATTATATTAGTAAACATATCAGCAAAACTAGTGCTTCTTCAGCACACCAAACCTATGAGACCTCCTAGGATGCATGCAGGGTTAAGCAGGTTAACAGTCCAACTGTTGACCAGTTAACACTCACCTACTCAAAACACCAGACAGACCTAAGATAATTTTTTTTCTTCACCTCAAACAGGAAACAGACATACCTGTAGCCATGACCTGCATACATCTATTTTTTTTGTCCCAGAAATTAAAGCAGACTCAGGTTCTGCAGCAGTACCACTTCATCCATCCTCTTGAAATTTAAAGAGAATCTCAATTAAAGAATATACCTAGTACCCTACTTTACACCTCCAATTTTGCCAGGAATAGACCAAATCTGTGAATTTGTAAGCACACTAAAAAGAATCTTGCACTGCTACTGCTGAAAAGCTTGAAGAATTTTCTCTGTAACAATCTGAAAATTCCCTATCACCAGCTTGATTTATGAGACCTAAGTCAGTTCACAAATTGCTCACCATGTTTGGGTATGAAGGAGGAACTGAAGTTCTTAGGAAGTCCTTGAAAGTGGCCAGCATACAGCAAACATATCTTACAGAACCTGAAGCTTTCAAACTCCCCATACCAATTTCTTTCCTAACATGAACAGTCTCCTCAACATTTCTCAGCTCCATTTAGTGCATTTGCTCCAGTGGTAAAAGAAATTGTTTCTTAACTTTTACAAGGCACATAAATACCACCTGATCCACTTTACATCACATTAATACCTTCTTAGGCTTTTGTAAAAGTGCAGCCTAAAACCAAACAGCACTTAGTCTTTCCACTACGTAAGGTCAGCCAACATGCAGAGCTCAATGTTTTGAAATTGTAGCTGATTCAGAGACCTGATCCTCTACCAAAGCAGTAACAAACTTCCACTTAAATTTCTTTATATCCTTGCCTAAAGACCAACCAGACACAAATCCAGAGATACACACAACTGCACTATTTCAGAATGAAAGGGAGGGAGCATACCTGAAGTCCAGAAGTACAAGATGATTCTCTGTCAAGGCTTATTTTGCCTATATAGTAAATTCTGACATTCTGCAGTTAGTCAGTCTTGGTAACTGCTTGCAACTGCAGAGGCAGAGGGCAAAAAAGGGTCGATACTCCCAGAATAATCTTCCCTTTGCTGTGCCAGCAAGTGACAGATCTGATTCTGCCTCTAGGGCTATCAAAATAAGGCTAAACAGCATGTCCAGAGGCTTAGTTTCCTCAGTTTCCAGTAGACAATTTGGTATTTCAATTAATTAGGCTCTTGACTGCAATAAAGCTGCATTTCTTTTTCCACCAATTTAGGCAGAAGCCTAGAACATGATTGAAGGTGTGCCCTTGACAGCACGACATTGCACTGCAGCGTCAAGAGCACATTACTGTTGGCATAGCTACAGAGAAACCCCTCCGGATCATGCGAAAGGAGCCGCATCACCATATGGTAAGCTGTATGTAGAATGTAATCATGAGACTAAAAGACAACAACATTAAAAGAGAATGGCAAAGCAGAGCTCCGCTGGCAATTAGCCCAAATAGCTGCCTATGAGTTCCGCCAGCACAAAATGCTGCTTCTCACCAATATACTGAAGGTATTTGCCAACTCTTGCTTCCGTCCACAGAAATGCCTTGGTTTCCATTTTCCTCAAAATCTTAAAACTGTAAATGGAGTCAGTCAGTCTTTCAAATGGTAGGCACTATCTACCCTCACTCCCTGCCCTACCGCCCTGAAGTTATGGAACCCACTGCAGTTTAATGCAAAACCAGCACCTCAGCAAGCTGTTAACATGGGAATCTCATTTTTACTGCAAGCTCTGCTCCAGAGTTGCAACTCACATAGAAAGAGTTAATACCCTTAAAAAAAAAAATTCAAACCCCTTACAGCATAAGCATTTGAAAAAGCACAAAAACATTAAGCCTGGCTTGTCACGCTACATATATAAACACATTTTCCAATGTAAATTGAATGTACAAATAGACATAATTTATACCTATATTACAAGAATGTATATAAGGAGTTGTCCAGCCATGACATCAGTGTCTCTCTACTTTTATGTTTAAAATGATGTCCTGGTCCAACCACTACTCTCCTGTTTCCTTACCCAGACACAGAAATTGCAACACCTTTCAAGTAACTGACCATTATTTTGTTAAGACAAATCTCTCACAAATGATCCATTTTTAAAATCAGAAGTTTGCAATTGCATCTAGAACTCATGCCGGAAAACCTTGAAATAAGTTCGTGAGGGTTACTATTGGAACTATTTCCTACTAGAAAAAAAAAAACAAGAAAAATAAAAGGTACCTGCATTATCTCTTTCTTTAGAAAAATTACCTTCACTTCAAAACAACTAAAGAGCAAACTGAAAGTATTATCTATAGTGTTTATACTGCACCGTCCTCCTCTTATCAGATCAGTGAAATCTCACTTCCAATACTAATCTGAAGACTAGCACTGACTAAAATTGAAAGATTAAAGCCTCCTAAGGAACCTAAAATACTTCACTTTTTAAATTACAATGGAGAAAAATGAAAGAAGCATTAACATAGCTGGATCTCTTCTCCCTTGCCACACAAACTAATGAGTTCATTAACTGCAAGTTCTCAAACATTTCTAACTTACACTTCAGAAAACCCTAAGTATCAGAACACAGCAATTAATTTTTTACAAATCAGGATGTAAACAAATAGATGCCTGAGCCAGGACTGAAGACCAGCAGTCATCAGGTAGCATCATTTGCTCAAAACCCCGAAGCAGCATTAAGCGAAGTCTTATTTCATGACTCCAGTCCATTTCCTGGTTTGGGAGCTAAAGTCCACAGTATTTTTCTCTCACAAACATATCAGCAAAGACTGAAAGTGCGACCCAGAGTTCTGTCAATGTTCTGCTATGAAGTGGAGCTAACTACTATGTATGCAAGTCAGTCAAACACCACTACATAGCTTTAAGTTATTACAGCTGGCACAAAAGACAGAAAAGACCAACTCTGCCATCACACTGGCCTGCTAAAGTAGAGAGATAAGATCTTCCACACAAGACGTGCTAAGAAAACAAACTTTTGCCAGAAAGGCATTTTATCTCAATCTAATCTATCTCTAGCAGGACGTACTGATATGAATTAGAAAAGAACATTTTATTGAGACATTCAGAAACCGATCCACCGCACACAATGTTAACAAGCAATGCTACACTGAAAAGACATGCTCTGCCATCATCCGCTGGGCATAAGAACCACTGTTCAGTTAACCAGCCATGCATATGCAGTTAGCCACATAATTAAATTTACAAACCAGCAATGCTTAAGAGAAGATAAAGCACCATTTTTTTTTCCTTTTAAAATCGTAGTCCAGGAGGTCAAGATTATGGGTGATAAAGACAAGAATCAGATGATGGGAAGGGGAAGAGGTGGAGATGAATGTAAGAATCTTTGTTTTTTGCGTTTTGCTAAACTGCCTAAATTATGAAATTAAGGAAGAGTCTTTATACTTATAGGAATGTTAATTACTTTTTCTCCACACATACACACATCACAGCTCAGTCAATGCCAGTTCACCTGCAGTCCAGAGTCCACGTACAGATACTGAGCAGCAATTTCTACTAGAAATGGGTGTTACAAATTTCTCATTCCTAACCTTGAAGCATTCAAGCAAAGGGTTTGCCTGCATTAGAGAGCTGAGAGAGGGGTTCGGGGGGGGGGGGGGGGGGGGGGGAAGACAGACAAGTCAAAGAACAGTACTGAAGAAATTAGTATCTCTGCCAAAAGCTAAACCAAAGATCAATCTCGTCCAATATTTTGTTTCTGGCAATGGATACACCACAGATGAGAGTACTTGGAGGAGAAAATAATGATAAAATCAAAGTAATTACAGGAATAGGAAAATTTCCTTTAATAGTTCATGTGCATAAAAGACTCTTTGCAATGAGCATATATGGATAAAAACATCTGCAGATCAGTATTTCATAACTGACTGTATGAGAATTTCATATCAGAAAAATTTCATTATTTTTTCCTTAACTATATTGCAAGCACCTCACCTACCTTTAAAATCCCTTCCACAAGCTGAAATTTAAAAAGCTTATACACTTTTTAAAAAGTCTTATTTAAGTAACATCTTTGTCTTCATAAAATAGCTTTAAAAATAATCAGAATACAAAATAAGGGATGAATGCATTACAGTATAAGCCTTATTTTAAATTTGCATAGTTTTTGTCTATTCTTCCTTCAATTCAGTTGTCATTTCTGCTGATTCTCTCTGCCTGGACTGAAGTTACCTAAAAATGATGTAGGTTTTCTGGGTTTTGGGTTGGGTGTTTTTTGTCATTTGATTTGAATTTTAAATGAAAACAGCATATATTTATGGGTAACCGCAAATGTCAATAACATCCTATTAATTTTTTTGTTCAGATTTCCTCCCCAAAAACGCATATACAACAGTCCTCATCTACAATGCATGTGACCCTTTTTACAAGGCCACTTTTGCCTTGGTATTTAGCAACAGCCTGACTTTCTTAAAATTTCACATAGCTACCACTGAAGAACAGAGTACTGAATTAAGTTTTCAGAGCCTGAACAAAATACTACTACTCCTTCCTCTCTAAAGGCTCCTTACAGGCAACCTAGTGCCCACACAAACATCCTGAAGCCATACTGGAAACACCAGGCATAGGATAGTTCAGATACAGCGAAGGTCTCTGAGCCTGAAGGACTGATGGTGGCAGTAGCAGACAGAATTTTACAAGGCAAGCTCAAGAGACCAGGAGATGAAAACACTAGGAAATCCAAGGAGGTCCAAGTCCACAATAGCGTAAACAGGGTGATAACATCACTGAGCAAAATAAGGAGGATCAAGCTTTGTTTACATCCTTTGAGGCAGAGTCTGCCTGTGACTCATCCCAGCAGTCTGAGCTTTCTTGAGCTCTGGCCGCAGTGAGCGTTCTGCTAACCTCAAACTCAAGTTCGCCTTTTTTGTGCTTTGCTCACCAGCTGACTTGAGGCTCTATGCTTCTCAGCAGAATCAAGAAGTATCCCATCAGCTTGGCACTGATGCCTGAGCTTACAAACTTACTAACTGGCTAGAAATAATATCTATTAAATGTTTGTCTTTAAAAGCCTTTGCTGGTAGCCCTGTAGAAACATCAAATTATTCACTGTTTTAAAGCACACAATTATTTATGTGTATTTCATAATCCATTTTGAATTTCATTCACCTTGTAACTAATACAACAAGGTGGGGGTTTTTTAACCACTTCCAGTATTAAGGATTTTTTGTTAAACTACTATCAGTGTTTTCAAAAGATTCCTCTTCCATCCAAGTATTAAAACTCTAGAGCCAACAATACCTGCTTTGTATCTTGAATTCATTCGCATGCATCTAAAAATGTGATGAACCAGGTTAAAATGCAAGAACGCCACGCTTCCCAGAAACCACATGCAAATGCTTTGTGTGACCCCCGCTTTAGTACAGTAGCTTTATCTTTCAGCTGGACACTCTGTGATCTGTTGATACGTATTACTGAATACTCCACTCCTTTCCCCCAGAACAACAGCAGAAGACGATCCATGATGTTTTAAAACAATTGTTTCAAGCTTTTACTCACATAACGGATTCTCAGGTAGTATTGTAAAAAGCATTCAAGTGGCAACTCAAAAAGCTTCATTAAAAGCAAATTTCTGGAATGCAATGTGCTCTAGGTTGAAAAAAGTCATTTCAGAACATGTAATGATATTTTTTCTAGTCAACGTAAAGGTGCATGGCTAGATTGCTATTAATATGAAAGTCGAAAGTAAAGAATGCCTTGAAAATACAGATCTCTGAGTGATAAACAGGATAATTGCCTAGGTATTCAGAAGCACTGTACATCCATTGCTGCAGAGTACACAACACTCAGGCAGGCATCTGCAAAGCGTACAAACCTTACAAAAGCTGTACATCTCTCAGCAAAGAGGTGCTCAGCACTTCTGAAATCTAAGTGTTTACCTAGATGTTTAAACCTGTATTTAAAAGGCTGGCTTTTCAGATACTCTTAAAATACTGGCTCAAAGTTATAACTAACAAAAAACAGACCAGAGTGTGGTCAGAGAGCCTAGTTTCTGCATATTTTTCAAATATGAGATCATTATAAACAAGAACATTGCTAAGGTATTAGAAAAATAGATTTTTTTAAAACATGTTCTGAAACTTATTTTAAATGTTTCCAGGTTAAAAAAATATATATATATTTCCCCCATAAGAAGGGATTGCAGAGATCTCGAAAGAAAACAGACCTTCAGCAAAAGCTCTCACCTCTATCTACAGTCTTGTCTGATTCACGAATATAATGTTTCAGAGTAGCAACCAAGACAGCCATTTCAGCCTTGGAGATCAGATTTCAAAAAGATGACGCCCTTGAGAACACATTCAACCACTTGTCTTGTATATGCTTACACACAGCTGGCCTAATCCTTTTCATGACTTCAGATGTGTCAATTACAATTTCTTAAGTTAGAAAAGAGATGCTAGTCTCCTTATCCTAAAACCAAAACATACCATAAAATACTGTTTATACTATAAAATACTATACTATAAACTATTTTCTACTATAAAATACTGTACAATTTGTCTACTATATTATAAAATAGTTTTCTTCACAGCTTTTTGCTATGACAACATTTTTTAATGGGTAATTTGACATAGCTTGGCTGACAAAATTTTCACCATGTAAAACAGCACTTAGATTTTCAGTAATTTCTCAGTCACAGCACAACTGAGAAACAAAACCATACTGTTTTAAGGAATCCAACACCACTAATTCACCCACTGAAAAGAACTAATGTTCTAAAATGAAAGGTAGAAAGAATATTCTTGGCTATTTAATGGTGTGCATCCTCTGCATAGTATCCTGAATTTGCTTCCTGTGACTGCCAACTTCAAAGCAAAATTATTCTTTTAAAACGAGACACCAAAATAGCAAATCAGTGCCAGGCAGAGGTTATGACCCAATGCCATCATGCAGACAGCATAAATCCATTATTGCTAACTGACAGTCTCCCAGAAGTCTAACCATTCAAAATTCTTATCAAATGATCTTCAAAAACATTGTCTGGTCTTGCCCTGAAAAGCTTTTGTCCTGTCAGTCACAACTACTTGGGAGCAGAACAAACATTTAACATTTGACAAACAAGGTGAATACCTACTTAGTGGACCTATTCGCAGACATGCTACTGTACACACCTGTGCCCCAAACAAACCCTGCTCTTTCAGGATATTCAGGCATGCAGAATCTTTAAGCACAGTGCAATCATTCCAGTGATTAGTCACAAACAAGCAAAGGGACCTCTGTGATAACCACCATCTGACCTACTGTATGTACTTGGGTTGCCCAGAGAAGCAGCTGACTTTCTACTGTGAGAAGGGCCATCAAAGAAAAAAAAGCTTTAATTGTGCGAAACCTCAGATTTACAGGACAATATCCTCAAAATACAGTTTAAGCACAAACTATAATGCAGAAATCTTCTCTTTCTCTGCAATAAAAGGGGGCAAACAAGCTCAATAATAAACCACTGGCAGTAGCTACCAGTAAATCTAGCTTGTCCTAGCATTAAGAGTTAAGGATGGCAATACAATGCTTACAACTCTGGTAGAGACGTATCTAGTGGAAAAAAAAAAAAAAAGAAATCTTCAGAAGCCAGTTTGTTCCTAAGGAAAAACTGACCAAGGGAACAGTAACCTAAGATCAATATACATGATCCAGAAAAAGACTACTGAAATCTTCAAATGTGACATTTCCACCCACATATCCATATTTAACAAAATATCTGCTGAGAGCATAACACAGCAATGCAGTGCTGTGGATAAGATTCTCAAGTGTTTACAAACTGATGACTCAAATTATAATTCATGTGGACATGTATATTAAGCACACTTGATTTGCAAATTACTAGCTAAAGCCTCATTTCTCCAACATACTTATTTAGAGATTCCTCCATGTTTTGTATTACTGGTTGACTTATGAGAGCTGGAGTTCAGTTATGACTAGCACTGTGAAAGCAGCTTAGAAAACAGTCCCTATCTTGAAGAATTTATTAACCTGTTTAAGAAAAAGATCCAATTAACTGAAGAATGGGAATTTTATCAAGCAGTCCATACATACGTACACAGGTCTACACATTATTTAGTGCTGAAGAAAAACATTCAAGGAAAAAAACCAGTTAAAAGTCAGTATGCTTTGCATAACACTACAGGGACACTTCACAAGACAACCCTTTCTTTGGTCAGCTTTAGGCAAGCAATACTTTGTTATTTTTACAGGGTAAGACTAACCCCATGAGATACAGCAATGAATTTTATGCTCACGTGGCCAAAAGCGAGTAACACCAAGTGGCTTCTCACCTAAATGCCTGGCTGCAAGCATGCACAGGACAAAAAAATGCTCTTTTAGCCTCAACCTCTCTTTCCTCTGAGGGTGCAAAGACAGCTTAGGCAACATATTTCACTCCTAACAGCACATGCTGCACCACAAGCTGTTCAACATCTGAGGAACTGGCACTGAGACTGATGGAAAAGCCCCACCAGTTGACCTACCAGTTGTAACGCTTCACTGTAGAGACATCAAAACTATCGTGTTTATTTCGTATTTTAATGGAAAAATAATGAAAAAAAATCTTTGTAACTTTTTTTTTAAGATGGACTGATTTTTGATTTTACAATCTAACAGCAAAAGCTATATTATTTCAAATTTTCACCTTTTAATTTTACTCTTTTGGTTAGTATATAAACTGCGTAACTTTTCAAGCAGTAAATTCATACACAAATGTTGTACATATCAATCTCCAAATAAGATTAACCTCTCTAACAACATAATGTAGCAATTAAAACACTTACAGTGCGAGCACATTTCCAAAGGGTAGCTTGCCTCATTTCCCTGAAACACAAAAAAAGAACCAAGTTGCAATTATTCCCAAGATAGCTTAGAGGAACTATTTTAAGTTTCAGCACTGTAAAGATCTCAGGAAATACAAGCTACATGGTTATTTAAAAAAATATATACATATTTTAAAGCCAACAACCATGGACAGTCATTTGTTTGGATGGGTCTATGTTACCAAAACATACAAAGAAATATAAACCCATTGAGAGGTCTCCTCTGATAAGAATTCCCATGAAAGTACCAGCAGTCCACACAACGATAAGAACTTCAACCCCATAATCTAAACTCCAAAAATCAAACTCACTACTTATATATTGTACAAATGCTACTTTTCAAGCTAAATAATGTTTCAAGACTTCACATAATCCGCTTTATCATTTTATTTTACACACAGAAACAGACATGTCCTTATGAATTACCATGACAAACCTTACTTAATTAGCATAAGAAAACTGCAGCATTTTTATTCCCCAGAGCCACCTGCCCACTCCCCGCAAAAAGGATTCACACAGGAAGAATGGTGTAAAAAAGTGGTTTACATGACTAGAAATACAGATGTAGCAGCTTTAACATTTATATATTTTTGTAAAGTACTATATTATTATGTTCCTGTTTTGTAGCTGAAAGTTCAACTAACATTTTAAATCCTTGCTGCACAACACAGTCATAGCAAGAAAAACTAAAACTTTTGAGTGTACAGTCACTTTGGTCACTTTGAACTTGCACATACCGAAATCCACAACTACTGCAACATGAACGCCAAAAGACACTAAAATTAAAAGTTTGTGTTGCTTCCCAAATGCCTCACTTTGAGCCAGAGAAGATCAAAATACACGCATGCTTAATATTTTTTCAGAATCAGTCAGCAAAGGAGTGACCAGATAACTGAAGAGATTCATAACCAAACATTTTCAAAAAATTATTTTTAAGAGAATGTTTTATACAAGAAAACAAAACATATTTAAGCTGAGTCTAAGACACATTCTATTCAGCAGTGATTCTCTTACGTCATGGAGTGTAAGGGATTCCATAGCTGACCACTTGCACAGAAAGACTCCTCAAAATTATACAAAATTGAACAGAAATACAGAGATTAATTGACAGAAGGAAAAAAAAAAGGAAGAACCACATTTAGCCTGGAAGCATGCGACTGCATTTCCTAATAAGGACAGAAAGGGGCAGAACAAACATCTCATGAATCTAAACATGTCTGAGAGGAGATGTGGTGTTGGGGGGGGTTGTTTGCTTTTTTTTTTTAACCTCCAGAACACATACACTTTGCTTGTCCCCCACAATCCACGGGCTCTCTTTCTTATTTAAAGCTTTATAAGTAGAGCAGTGAAAGATACAGCCTTAACTTCTTCCCCAATGTCTACTTATAGCAAGACAACATAGCAGAATAGAAACGCAGACGAGGACCACCAGGTCCCTAAAACCTCAAAGGCATGACTGAGATATTCTACAAGAGAAACTTATCCCACGGTGGCAGGGAAGCCAGGAGAACAGTGCCACATGGAAAAATCTTGGATGGAACCCAATCAAACTCTTAGAAAAAACAGTGAAGACCAAAATAGGTAGTAAAAGCCTAGTGTATGTATATGAATATTAAAAGGTAGGGGATTTAAAATGGGGGAAAGCAGAATTTTGAAACAAGAAGAAACAGGAACCAGGGGATCCAGCTAGGCTGCTCAAGACACGAGGTCATGAAGAGGCAAGAAAAACACCAGACTGGAAGGCTGCAAATTAAAGGAGAAAGTTGAATTAAAACCAGTGCACTTATGCACATGCACACACAAATATACAATCCTAACTACATTAGAAGACTGTTCTGGGCACTTACATCCTTGTTCAGGTGTTGGGAGAAAGTTAATTTCTAGTACAGGCTACTGAAATCAATCTGCCTAAAGCAGCATAAAATGCGTCTGAAAATTGAGCAGGAAAAATTAAAAATGCAAATAACTTTTTTCAGTTCATGAACTAAGTGTAATATTTATAAGGAGTCTTACTATGCATCTAGATGCAGATGCTAAGCCATAATGAAGTTATCTACATGAAGTAGCCTAAAAAAAATATTTGGAGAGCAGAGAAAAAAGTGAAAAAACTTCAGCCTAGCTTTTCTGTGAAACAGTTACTGCTAAAAAGAAGTGTTAAGAATACTTACCTATCCAGGACTGGAACTTTGCTATCTACAAAAAATTAGAAAAATCTAGTAAGTGACAATGTAAAAATTACATGATTATTCAGTATTTGCTATATAGTATTTAAATAAGGTATGTAAGAAAAGTAGTTACCTGCTATTGATGTGCTGAGTGTTCATCTTCACAGGAGAATCCAAAAGTCTACTACGTTTTAATTTTTTTTTTTTTTGGTACAAATAAATGTTCAAGCTACTCATGCCAAGATTCCTGTTTGCACAGCTGTGACCTGGACAAACACAAAGGTGTTCCTCTATACGAAAGACCTGATCCTCAGAAATGAAGATTAATGATTTGGTCTTGGAGGCAGGCATTTTTCATCTATTCTGAACAGCAGTACAAAAAGGTCACTTATTTGTCCCCACACACAATCAGTATGTGTACATGCTGTATGAGATACAATATAAGCCCTGAAAAACAAGTGCTAAATAGGTTGAATATTTTCTTGTTGTTTAAGAGTAGGTAGGTAGTCAGTAAGATGGAAGGTCTAGCTGCATCCACATTAATGTGTTATGAAAAAAGCAGGGCGGGAAGCACAGCTATGAGACTTCATAAAGCATCAAAATGAGCCCTTCAGGAAAAGGAAGAAAAAGATCAGGTACACGTTGTCATCTGCACAGTTTTAATGCAAAGAATTACCAAAGTTTTAACAGCAGGACTAGGTAGCATTCCAAAGAAAGCTAGAAAAATGTAACTTTGTGATTGGGTGTACTAACAGAAAATTTTACATCATAATTATAAACCTTATTCAGCAAAAGAACATGGCTTTGACATATATTTTTTTTATTTTATAAAAGTTTTTTAAAAAGTGATACTCATTTGTAAAGACAAGTCACTGCAAAATCTCCAGACAGCATCTGCCATTTCCTCTCTGATGCAGAGAAGTTCATTTATACAAATAAATGTGTAGAGTAACAAGGTTCTGATACAACTCTCTTAAGATTGCCAACTTAAAAAAAACCTCATTATAATATTAGTATTTCCTGCCAAATATATATTTAGCATACCTTAAACGAGTGAGAGCATCCTCTCATATACACCATATTAGCACATTTAGAAACAAGTGACACATGGTTTGTTGAAGAAATGCAGTTTGTACAGCATCAACACTCCACAACAGATTTACTTGGCACCTACGCCTAGTATAAAACATGCTTTCCTCAGCTGCATCTGGGTATTACTACCATACTGCTGGAGTTCAACTCTTTTCTCTAGAGTTATGCAATTAAAACAAGCAGCTGGAGTACTATGGATATTTTGAATAGCCTTATTCTTTTAGAATAGTCTTGACATTTTTTTGAATGCTGTTAGATCCCTACACATTAATTCCTGGTTAAACAGCAGCAAAATCATGGCTTACAGACAGAAATAATTACAGATCAGGGAACAGTCCAGTCTACTAACAGAAGGCTGACCAAATTCTGAATACTGCAGAAATATCAGTTCACTAGAGACAAGTCAAAACATGTCACTAAAGTATTTCAGGTGGTTGTATGACATGTAGCTTGTTCCTTTAAGAACAAAAATGTTCTTTGCAATTTTATTCTCTACTACTTATTTTCCTTTTCTCCTTTCAGCAGCCATGCCTTTTTACTGATTAAGGATAACCTCTTAATGGTCTTTAGCATTATTTCTTCTATAGATTATCCATAAAAATGTTGTTCTTGATTACTCTTTCTTTGGCAGTTACTTCAAATACTAATCACTCTCTCTTCTTAAGGTCAGTTTTGTACATGCTCCTCCAAGGTTAGTTAAGGGCAATTATCTTGACAAGTCTCCTCTGAGTGAAAGACATGAAGAGCTGTGGATAGAAAATAAAAAAGGGAATTTGCAATTAGCAAAATTAACAACAGAAGCTAAATTCTTAGCTGAAGTTGTTTATACAAAACAGCTTGTACACAGTAAGACATCAGACTGCAAAACAGTTCTTCAGTATACATTAGTAGAACACACTTTCTAGATCTGTTTATTTGTATGTTACTTTTCTGCATGATGTACATCTTTTTGTAAATAGTTCAGAGATTTAAATTACAGCATCAGCCTTCAACTAGTTTTCTGCTTTTATAAAAGCAGAAAATGTGTTTAAATGTCAGCAAGCCACAATGTCAGTTTAGGACTCATCTCAACTTTAGTTCTCAAAAGGTGGCATGTGAGGGACTACAAATACAAATGATCTCCTGGAACAGTTCAGAAGTTAGATTGTTTCAAAGCTTTTGATTTGTTTCCATAGCCAGACAATGAATTAATTCAACAAGTGGCAAGAGTGGTCTCCTAAGATCTGTTTAGTACATGCACAGGAGTAGTTGTCCGAGATTTACTACCATTTCTGCAGCAACATACAAAGAAGTGTATTAAGCTCATCCTAATTGTAAATGGCCTTAAACATGCAAACTGCCTCGACACTGCAGTTCGCTGTTACACTATGCACCAAAGCTTCCCACAGAAATGGAACATTATTTCTGCATTTGTGTTTTTGATGCATGGGCACCTCATGGGTGCTTCCTGCATTTGCTCCTGCACCTTCTACATTACTAATTATCTTTGTTATTACAACAAACAAACTACAAACTGTGCAAGTGAAACAGTTAACCAAACCATGTCAGCTGGGGGTCAGAACTAGGGATTACTAACATAATCAACTTCAATTCTCAAGTTACACAAAAAGCTGTATCATCATCCACTACTACAACTAGAAAAGAATGGGAGTGTTAAGAAGAAAGATAGCAGAGGCTGGCAGCCAGCATTTAAAAAGAGCCTACTCAAAAGACCCTTCTTCCTCTTCCACAAACACACA